TTGCAAAAATCGAAATCATACGCTAGATATCGAACATCATCAGCAGGCAGACTTCCGATAACAACATCGTATTCGCACGGTTCTCCGTCATCGGTTGAGCCGGTCTTCTCCACTTCGACTTTTTTTACGTCGTCAGAGAATTTGAAAACAGCATATTTGAGTTTTTTGGATTTTACACTCATCATACTACATCCAGCCCATGCTTTTTTAACCGAATCGTCGATTTTTATTCCCGATGCCATGTTTACCTAAATTAAATTTAAATGCTAGTAAGAAAGAACAGTTTGCCGGCGTGACGGTGGTATTAATATTCTGTTTAGCTTAAAAGTTAAACGGCAGACACATCAAGCTGTTGTTTGCTTGAGAGATTATTTTAAAGTGAAATAGTTTCTAGTCCAATCGGTTTTTAAAGAAGAAAAAATTTTTTTTTTTATATAGGCCCTACAGAGAGAATAAGAGGTTAATTTTGGCCATGGAAAAGCCCTTTACTGGTAATGTTTTATTTTTTATCCTTTTAAGAAAAAAAAAAGCTATTTTGTTTCTCCGACCTGGTTAAAGAGAACTCCCATATTGTTTTATAAACTTAAGTGTAATAAATAGTGTCTATTTGGGTGGTTTCCCTTGCCTGTGTTGGCTTTTCCGGCTTGTCTGGATGCCTTCCCCTGATTGTCTGGATAGCTTCCCCTGTTTGTATGGGTTTTCTCCTTACCTCAAGATTATGTACAGGTGTGGACGAGGGTGTTGACTGTACGGAAGAAAACTAGTTTTTGCACCTTTCTTCACCTTGTTTACTTTAGATTTCTAGCGATGCGGGGTGTATAAGTATGGGCGTGTGCCGGCCAGCCCTGGGTATAATACGTTAGTAGTGTAAGTCTTCTACCCCTGTGATTGTCTTTGTGTGTCTTCAACCCCAGAAGTGTTTTTGTAGTGTATATCTTCCCTACGATTGTTAGTCTTCAACCTATGAGATTAACTTTCCCTCTGTGTTATTCATCAAATATGTATTGTTTGGTAAATCGGTATTTCTCTAATCTGCAGTTTTGAAAAAAAATATATGTGAACTGTTAAACTGAAAATAAAATTTTCACTCCATTTTAAATCACTGTTAGAAATTTAAATGTGTGAAATGCAACTAAAATAGTGTTTTGTTCATCATTAATTTAGAAAGATTGTCAATCTAATCTCTTTGTTATATTCATTACTTAACTGGTTCTCAGAAATATGAAAACAGCCCCAGTAATGATATGGTCACACAACTAGTTCTCAGATACACGAAAACAGCCACCACAAGACGCTTTACATTGTGTGCCTGCTGGCGTGTTTATCTTTGCTTCCAGCTTGTCTTATCCTTGATTAAATCCAGCATCTGAATAATCCATAAAACTAGCATCCCACTTTTTTGTCTGATAGAAATTGATATTTTCTTTTATAAACAGATTCGGGTATTTATTCTTTTCTTCCCCCCCCCCTCAGAATAATCTAAATAAATCTACCACGTATTTTACTTTTTGCTTGAAATTAATATTCATATTGTCTATTTTTTTTTATATCATCAAAACCGTTGCTTAAATAATATATAAGGCAGGCATATTACATGTTGCTAAATAATTTTTCTATCTCAAATTTTAAAAACGAATTTCCTTTTCTTTTTTTTTTCTCCATCTGATCAAATTGTCAGCATAATCTATAAGCCAGCCGTCTTCACATGTATTGTTAGAAAAGAACCACAACTCTTGCCACGTTTTCGTGTGGCCGAAAAAAGCCAGGAAGAGAAGATTGTGTTTACGTCAAATAACGAATGGCTTTTTTTATATAATCTGCCTCGTGAGTTCAATAATAACCTGAGATTATTAATAACCCGGCTTAATGTTTCCATCAGAACACTCGCCATGTTGCGGTGTTCGTGTTAAATTTCTCTAGCCTCAATCGTCCGTCTTCAGCTTCCTATTGCCACCAAATTCCTTGTACTTTGGGCTCTTTACATTAGCGAGTCGCCTCTTCAGTCCAGTCTGTTTGTTTGTCTGTGTCTTTGTTTGTCCTCGTGTACTTCAAACCCTGCTCGATACCTTTTACCACTGCCCTCCCTTCCCCCTCCCGATCTTCACATCTGGCGCTAAGATCAAACTAAACATCGCCAAACACTCATGGAGGTAGGAAGATGATCTACGTATGTGGTGTGGAAGATGATTTACGTCTGTGGTGTGGCGTGGGGGTCGAAACGTAAGACGGGTCATCCCGCTAACGCTGTTAGACCCGTGTCTGTCATGCATGTGTCTCTTACCTGCGATTTCAGGCCTGTATGTTACCTGCGATGTCAGGCCTGTTACCTGCGATGTCAGGCCTATGTTACCTGCGATGTGAGGTCTGTGTGTTACCTGCAACGTCAGGCATGTGTTACCTGCGATGTCAGGTCTGTTTCCTGCGATGTCAGGTCTGTTACCTGTGATGTCAGGCCTTTCTTACCTGCGATGTCAGGCCTTTCGTACTTGCGATGTCAGGCCTATGTTACTTGCGATGTCAGGCCTGTGTGTTACCTGCGATGTAAGGCCTGTGTGTTACCTGTGATGTCAGGCCTGTGTTACCTGCGATGTAAGGCCTGTGTGTTACCTGCGATGTAAGGCCTGTGTTACCTGCGATGTAAGGCCTGTGTGTTACCTGCGATGTAAGGCCTGTGTGTTACCTGCGATGTCAGGCCTGTGTTACCTGTGATGTCAGGCCTGTGTTACCTGCGATGTAAGGCCTGTGTGTTACCTGCGATGTAAGGCCTGTGTGTTACCTGCGATGTCAGGCCTGTGTGTTACCTGCGATGTCAGGCCTGTGTTACCTGCGATGTAAGGCCTGTGTGTTACCTGCGATGTAAGGCCTGTGTGTTACCTGCGATGTCAGGCCTGTGTTACCTGCGATGTAAGGCCTGTGTGTTACCTGCGATGTAAGGCCTGTGTGTTACCTGCGATATAAGGCCTGTGTGTTACCTGCGATGTAAGGCATGTGTGTTACCTGCGATGTCAGGCCTGTGTGTTACCTGTGATGTCAGGCCTGTTACCTGTGATGTCAGGCCTGTAACCTGCGATGTCAGGCCTGTTACCTGCGATGTAAGGCCTGTCTGTTACCTGTGATGTCAGGCCTGTGTTACCTGTGATGTCAGGCCTGTCTGTTACCTGCGATGTCAGGCCTGTGTGTTACCTGCGATGTAAGGCCTGTGTGTTACCTGTGATGTCAGGCCTGTAACCTGCGATGTCAGGCCTGTTACCTGTGATGTCAGGCCTGTTACCTGTGATGTCAGGCCTGTAACCTGCGATGTCAGGCCTGTTACCTGCGATGTAAGGCCTGTCTGTTACCTGTGATGTCAGGCCTGTGTTACCTGTGATGTCAGGCCTGTCTGTTACCTGCGATGTCAGGCCTGTGTGTTACCTGAGGTGAATGTCTGGTCATCAGTGTTGACCTACACAGACATACACCTCCCTGTATATACATAAGTATATATATATATATATATATATATATATATATATATATATATATATATATATATATATATATATATATATATATATATATATATATATATATATATATACACATGCTTACTATAACTTCCGCTCCCTAATACTCAGCGTGGTAGTGTTGAACGAATATAGCCTACTGCTTATAGAAAGTGTATGATAAACTCTAATCAATCATTGTTATAATCTAACCATTAAAATGTGCAAGATAAAACTAATTAAAGTCGGCATTTTTACATTTCCATAATGTGTTTTTTCATGGTCTTTTTCTGCGGACATCATTACCAAAGTTACGGTTTGAAAAAAAAGTAGGTGTAGGAGCCCCATACCAGCCCCCATACTATAGACCGCTTGCTAACAAAAGATAGAGGAAGAGCTAGATAGCTATCAGCTCCAATACCTATGTAGATGTGGATCCCTTGCCTCTAGGGTAGTAAACATTCCGGCCCATTCATTGCAAGTGGTTGCACGTCAACAAAAGACGTGTGTGGGAGGGGCGGGGGTGGAGGGATGTGAAGATTTGTGTATGCTGATATTGTAATACCCAGATTTACGATCCTCGACCTCCATCTTCCTCATGTATTTTTACCCGGTAGAGATCTATTCTTAGCGTAGTACTCTTCTAAACGTGAACACGAACTAGTATATATATATATATATATATATATATATATATATATATATATATATATATATATATATATATATATATATATATATATATATATATATATATATATATATATATATGGGTGGGTGGATGGGTGGGTGGGTGGATGGATGGATGGATGGATGGATGGATAGATAGATAGATAGATAGATAGATAGATAGATAGATAGATAGATAGATAGATAGATAGATAGATAGATAGATAGATAGATAGATAGATAGATAGATAGATAGATAGATAGATAGATAGATAGACATTAAAAAAGAATATATAAATTAAACCTGAAGGCATGCATTGTCCTGTGTTGTTCGTTCGACGTATGTCTTGAACAGAGCGAGTTAATCTTCTTGAGCCATTTAAACCTCATACGTCAAGTGCGCCTGCCCTTCACTATTATCATAATACGCACCACTTTCAGTATACGTACAACTGTCAAAATACGCACTACTTTCTTAATACCAGCAACTGTAGTATTACGCACTGACTTTCATAATACGCACTGACTTCATAATACGCTCTACTGTCACCTAACTGACAAAACTGGTTCGTCCCCCTGCCTATCCCCCCCCCCCTGACAGGACGTGTCTGTTTTATTACCTGTGTCACTGTGACATGCTCTAAGTGACATGCTCGTGGTTCTCTGTGGTGTGTGCTGTTGACATGAAGTGGCCCAGAGCTTTAGACGACTTCATTATGTGGCCTAGAGCTTTAGTTAACATCATTTAGTGGCCCAGAGCTATAGTTGACATCATTATGTGGCCCAGAGCTATGGTTGACATCATTATGTGGCCCAGAGCTATAGTTGACATCATTATGTGGCCAAGAGTTAGTTGACATCATTATGTGGCCCAGAGCTATAGTTGACATCATTATGTGGCCCAGAGCTATGGTTGACATTATGTGGCCCAGAGCTTTGGACAACATCATTAAGTGGCCCAGAGCTATAGTTGACTTCATTATATGGCCCGGAGCTATAGTTGACATCATTATGTGGCCCAGAGCTATAGTTGACATCATTATGTGGCCCAGAGTTAGTTGACATCATTATATGGCCCAGAGCTATAGTTGACATCATTATGTGGCCCAGAGCTATAGTTGACATCATTATGTGGACAGAGTTATAGTTGACATCATTATGTGGCCCAGAGTTATAGTTGACATCGTTATATGGCCCAGAGCTATAGTTGACATCATTAAGTGGCCCAGAGCTATAGTTGACATTATGTGGCCCAGAGCTTTGGACAACATCATTAAGTGGCCCAGAGCTATAGTTGACTTCATTATATGGCCCGGAGCTATAGTTGACATCATTATGTGGCCCAGAGCTATAGTTGACATCATTATGTGGCCCAGAGTTATAGTTGACATCATTATATGGCCCAGAGCTATAATTGACATCATTTTGTGGCCCAGAGTTATAGTTGACATCATTATGTGGCCCAGAGTTATAGTTGACATCATTATGTGGCCCAGAGCTATAGTTGACATCATTAAGTGGCCCAGAGCTATAGTTGACATCATTATGTGGCCCAGAGTTATCTATAGCTAAGATAGGAACTCATGCTAGACTAAAGCTTTAGCAATGTTGTAGCATGAGCCTGCAATGTAATCGTGTTTTATAACTGGTAGTGAATGACATCAGGGATTTAATAGGATTCAGCATAGCTTCGTATTTTATAGTTATAGTTAAATCTTCCACAGCACATTGTTTATTTTGTGGTTGTATCGTGTTCAATACATTGTTTACTTTATTTTTATAGCCAAATCGTGTCAAAGACATTTTTTGTACATTAACTCCAAGCTAGATTTCTCCACGCTTTTTCCTTTTGGCTCATTTCTCCATTCTTTCTCTTCAATCTCTCTCTTATTTGTTTATGAGCTGAATAGCACAGCGGTAAATAACGATTTTCGTGAGGTTTCCCAACACCGGAGCAACTGGTTTCTGTCTATGGCTCTATGCTGAAGGTCTAACATCAACTCAACTGGCTATATGTTAAAAATATGCACTTTCACAATTACCCCCCTTCCCCCACCACAGACAATGTCTGAAATAAACATTAGTTAAGTCATCTGTAGATAACTGACCTTCTTGGTGGTCATCACTATATACTGACCTTCTTGGTGGTCATCACTATATACTGACCTTCTTGGTGGTCATCACTATATACTGACCTTCTTGGTGGTCATCACTATATACTGACCTTCTTGTTGGTCATCACTATATACTGACCTTCTTGGTGGTCATCACTATATACTGACCTTCTTGGTGGTCATCACTATATACTGACCTTCTTGGTGGTCATCACTATATACTGACCTTCTTGATGGTCATCACTATATACTGACCTTCTTGGTGGTCATCACTATATACTGACCTTCTTGGTGGTCATCACTATATACTGACCTTCTTGGTGGTCATCACTATATACTGACCTTATTGTTGGTCATCACTATATACTGACCTTCTTGGTGGTCATCACTATATACTGACCTTCTTGTTGGTCATCACTATATACTGACCTTCTTGGTGGTCATCACTATATACTGACCTTCTTGATGGTCATCACTATATACTGACCTTCTTGGTGGTCATCACTATATACTGACCTTCTTGGTGGTCATCACTATATACTGACCTTCTTGTTGGTCATCACTATATACTGACCTTCTTGGTGGTCATCACTATATACTGACCTTCTTGGTGGTCATCACTATATACTGACCTTCTTGGTGGTCATCACTATATACTGACCTTCTTGATGGTCATCACTATATACTGACCTTCTTGGTGGTCATCAGTATATACTGACCATCTTATTGGTAATCAGTAGGCTATATACTGACCTTCTTGTTGGTCATCGGTATATACTGACCTACTTGTTGGTCATCCGTATATTCTGACCTACTTGTTGGTCATCAGTATATACTGACCTTCTTATTGGTAATCAGTATATACTGACCTTCTTGTTGGTCATCGGTATATACTGACCTTGTTTGTCATCAGTATATACTGACCTACTTGTTGGTCATCAGTATACACTTGATGGACGTCGATACCTAGCCAACCCTGTGCGCCATAAATTAGATGCCTTGCGTAGACTGTGTCCATGAATATTTACAGCCTGATTAAATATTTAGGCTGTCTAGTTTTCTAGGTCAATACATTTGATACACTTGTTGAACCCTGGTGCTTCGTGCGACGCACGTGTCAACTTATTCTATAGACAGAAACTGCATAATGCAAATTTCAAAGGTCATGTTTTCTGAGTGAGTTTGTCCTGATAACCCAACACGGGTTTAATCTACATAGTTGTTTAACGCTTTAACGGGGATCTCGTTACAGAATTATGTAACGTCTTTAGCTAACCACGCTACAGAATCATGTGACGTCTTTAGCTAACAACCCTACAGAATCATGTGACGTCTTTAACTGACCAAACACCACGCTACAGAATCATGTGACGTCTTTAGCTAACCACGCTACAGAATGTGACGTCTTTAGCTAACCACACACCACCCTACAGACTCAAGTGACGTCTTTAGCTAACCACACACCACCCTAGAGAATCTTGTAACGTCTTTAGCTAACCAACCACCACCCTACAGAATCTTGTAACGTCTTTAGCTAACCAAACACCACCCTACAGAATCACGTAACGTCTTTAGCTAACCACACACCACCCTACAGAATTATGTAGCAAAAAATGAGCGAGTGAAAATATTTATGTCGATCCTGTGGCTTGTCACTGATATTTAGGATCTGTACGGGTGTTGAATGTAGCCATTGAGGGAGCTGATCACGTGATCTCACATCATAAACATGGCTGGAGTCCCTCTGGTGGCTCTACCACAACGATCTGCCACCATACCCCTTTACCCCCTCTCACGTTCCATCACTCTCACTCCTTCTCTCCCTCTCTCACTCCCCTCTCCCAAATGTTTTCATGACCTGCACTGCAGAGTGAGCGAGAGAGAGAGAGAGAGAGGGGGGGGGAGTGAGAGAGAGAGGGAATAAAAGTCGATATTTGGATACCTTATCCTTGACCGCCTATCATAGAGGGGGAGGGGGATGATTCACTCATCAGGCAGCGTCATGCTGCAGACACTGCTTGACCTCTAGAATCACGTGATGTTAGAGTTGATCGACACCACGTGATGTTAGTGTTGACCTGAGATCACGTGATGTTAGAGTTGACCGGGCATCACGTGATGTTAGAGTTGACCTGGTACCACGTAATGTTAGAGTTGACCTGACATCACGTGATTCTACAGGCGATGCTTAACCTGGCACCAGGGATATGACTGACCCACGCAGTGCCGCCATGTCCGACGCTTATTTTGTTCAGACGACGCTTCAGATGTATCCATCACTACATTTTTTTGCTACTATCGCTACATTACTACCCTTGCTCCTGAATCCAGCATTGATGTTAACGCTAGTACCTACCTCTGTTATTAATAGTGATATCGGCATTCAAATACAAAACCATACCATATACCGCTATGTCTTGTTGCGTTATCCTTTTGTATCCTGTACTGATCTAGCCTATACCTTTATGTCTGTATGCCGTTTTCTCTGAACCCACGTTTTTTTCGCACCACCTCGAATATTCAAACTGTCATAACCATTGCACTTTGTAAAGAATATCTCCATCTGAGGAAAAACCATATTTGCCCCTGTATAATATTACTCAGCGATTTTCATTTGAACTTTAAGAAACCTTGTGGCGAATATGGCAAGCTTGTATGGCTATCTACACAAAACCTTGTCTATTTTGTATATTTCCAGTTTCACTTTACACGGCAATGAGGGTGTGTGGTTGGCTTCAATCATTTTCAAGTTACTTTTACTCCCATTGTTGTAATCTTTATGAAGCGCATTAAAATTAACAATGTAACGGCTTTTATTTTTTAATAATAATCCTATCAGATTAAAGCGGCTAAGGTTTATGATAATAACGGGGGGGGGGGGGGGGGGGGTTGGAGAGGGGAACTCTATTTTTCTATATTTTTATTCTATGAAGAAGCTATCATTGAGACAGTCCTTTCAGTAGTTCAGCTTTTGCCTAGCGCTGGAGAATGGCTGAGTTTACGATGACTGTATATTTGGCTAGAGGAGGATGGGAAAGGGGGGGGGGGGGGTAGAAATGTTCTCGCATCGATTTTATGCCTGATTTCATCGCGGGCGGTTTGTGTTAAATTGTAAGTGTAACACGATTATTGATATTTGGCCGCCACTGGTTGGGAATGATTGATTGATTGATTGATTGTTTTGGGCTGCTGGATTTAAAAATGGCGATTTTCTGTTTGGTTAGCTATAAAGTGTCGTTTCTTTTTGCTTAGTTTTTATTTACTTATTGACGATAAATAAATTTCATTTGTTAGATTCTATTACTTATCGTATGAAGGACTGAGCGTTTAAAAATAGATGCGGTTAAATACCTAGGCGTTAAAAAGGGAAGATATTATTATAGCCTGAACATTGATAAATCAATAGTATGTACCACTTTGTGGAAAAAGCAAAAAAGTAGTTGAAATAATTAGCCTAGTAGCTTCCAGCATAGATTGACTTAAGCTAGTAGCCTCCCATGATCCGTTGCTTTATGTTCTATCCTATTGAACCACGTTCTAAAATCTTGTCCAGCTTTCTATATTAGCATTAATCTCAACGTAAACACAGGAGTCCCTAGTAGTTTTATTTCATGTAGCTTTTACATCCAAGCTTTTTTTTACGTAGCGTAAATTGAAACATATTTACCGTCGTAAAAAAAACAGCAACGGGACATTTCGTGTAGTCTTGGCATGATTCTTCTAGAGTCTCGCCGGAGTCCGTCTTGATCTCAGACTTCATAAAGGGAATTCTGTGGTCATTACAATGCCCAGCGCACGATACCTACAATAAAGTCCTTAGGCTCAGTGCTTTATGTTACTCTCCAATACTCTCCATACCCTCTCCCACCCTCATCATCCCACCAGATTACTTGGGGAAATGGATGTTTTACAGTACCGAGCCGGTCCTTGGGAGTTTAGGGAAGCCAAGATGCCATTACCGTAATGTTGTGTTTGATAAATAATGATGCGGCTGTATGACATAAATTTACCATTAAGCTGTGTGGCTTCCCACCCCCTACTCCCCCCCCCCCCCCCACCGCCCTCATGCAGCGTAAAGTGTAACGGTCTAACCTTTGCCCGTCCATACATGAACCCGCCCCTGCCAGCCAGGATTTGGCTTATGGGTGCGACGCGCGTGTTAAAAGCACTCACGTTGTCTAGTGAGCATCTCCCGAGCAGGAGATAGAATCATTGCGGGAGGAATATATTCATAACGTGGTTGTGGGACTTTGTGTTCCAGGGGACGCTACTCCAAAACATCGATATATTTGTTTATATAAATAGAGCCAAGGCTTTTCATTGGTCTTGTTTAGGGAGCTCGCATTTTTTTCTCTCTATTCATTTGCGAGATGAAGGATGTGTTGTTATAAGGCTCTGCTCTCGTGTCGTTATCTCTGCTATGTTGGGAGATTCAATGTTTCGCTAGTAGGATGTAAGTAATAGGTTATATGTTTATTATTTAGTTTAACTTGAAAACATTCGCCAGTGATTATGTTGCAACACTTCATCAGTCACATGATTATCTTGTTGATGTTGCCGTTTTTATTGAATATACGCGAGATTTTATTAATTCGAATTCTACTGCATCTGTCGTAGCTAACTTTTAACTTTCGATTGGGATTTGTTTCATTACTTCTGGCAATGTAATAAACAATAATTCGTGTTTTTAAAGAATATGAAAATATTACTCCAAGTACTCTAGCTCCACTCTATAGAAGGCTATAAATAAGATTATTATAAATAATACAAATGTAAACCATATACACGAAATGTAAACCTATCATTTTACTGTACACTCGGAACCTGCCCGTCATATTTCTTGTAATGTTACATAACGTTGCAGTGAATGAAACGTAATTCCACTTGACGGATTAACTCCCTAATATTCTCCCTAACTGGTTAGTGGTGTCAGGTACATCTTCAAAGGTGGCTGTTGGAGGCGTAGGTGGTGTAATGTGACGATGGCAGGCGTAGGCGGTGTAGTGTGGCAGTCGGAGGCGTAGGCGGTGTGGTGTTTACTTGGTGTCTTTTCACGTGTCAGCTTTTAGTTTTATCGTGCTCTAATATCAGATAGTCGCGCCATACTTACTTGGTGAATGGTATTAAGATGTAACCTTTTAACATACACTTGCACATTGGGTTCATTGTAGTACGCACAGATATGCTACTTCGTAGGTTATTATCCTGTTATAATACTCATACATTATATATATGTATATATATATATATATATATATATATATATATATATATATATGTGTGTGTATATATATATATATATATATATATATATATATATATATATATATATATACGGGCACACATGAAGACAACATGATTGACATGTGTTGACTTATGAAGACACAGACAATCCCTGCCAACATACACCCACCTCCTGTAGTCCAGTGATTGACCTCCATTCTCCTCTCTTCCCCAGGTGTCTCGTGTTGTACCTGTGAGACGTAGGCTGCCACCATGGTGATCTTATCCAAGGTGAGTACCTCAGGAATGCCGGTCTGACATACTCTCCTGACCTTTGTACTCTCACGAATAAATAGTAGGTACTAGAATGTCTGGGGGGGTACACTGACAGGGAGTTATCTACCTTGGTGTCTGATACTACTGTGGCATTGATTAAAGCTTGAGTGTAGGGTTGGACTTTTGATTAGGCACGTACTGTTGTTGAACTTTTTAATTTAGAGTGCTGTCCCCTACAGTTGCGTAGGGAATCTAGTTGTACACTGAGTATTTAAGGTGGCTGTAAAAATTATTGTGTTTAATTTTATTAGCTTATGTCAGTAATTTTTATACAAAGACCTTAAAAGGTATTATCAATATTAAGATTTTAAAAGGAAATGTTTTTTTACTTATAGCTGCCCTGTAGATTTGGGGCACTAAGATACACGCACAGTAAAAAAAAAAACGTATTACTGTAATCAAGCCACGGAGAGGGGTCGTCCATAAAAACGTCATTTTATTCTTTGTTGATTTTCACCCTTTCCCAGCAATATTCATTACACGTAATAAAATTTTAGGCCCTCACTTCTTAAAAGGACTTCACATAGATATAATAAATTGCACTTTTACCATTACACCAACACCACCCCCCCCCCCCCCCCCCCCACCCCATTTGTCAGAATCCTGTATCTGCGTTTCTTCACCGGAGAAGATCAAAAATTGTGTTCATAAGGATAGAAAAACATCCTGCAAAAAAAAAATAAAAACAATTTTTGAACCTCAGCTCTAAAAAAATGGAGAAAAAAAAAATGCCGGTATGATATCACCGTGTGAACGTAACGTAATCGCAAAAACCTGGCTTATGAACTTTTGTAACCCTAGTTCACGTGTTTGACTCACGTGAATGCTGTACAACAGGAGAATGGGAAGTAGCGGCGAGACGTAGTGGGTTAATGCTGTAGGGATAGATGCTGTAGGGCCAGACGTAGTGGGTTAATGCTGTAGGGCCAGACGTAGTGGGTTAATGCTGTAGGGCCAGACGTAGTGGGTTAATGCTGTAGGACAAGACGTAGTGGGTTAATGCTGTAGGGATAGATGCTGTAGGGCCAGACGTAGTGGGTTAATCTTGTAGGGCCAGATATTGTAGGGCTAGACGTAGTGGGTTAATGCTGTAGGACCAGACGTAGTGGGTTAATGTTGTAGGGCCAGACGTATTGGGTTAATGCTGTAGGGCGAGACGTATTGGGTTAATGCTGTAGGACCAGACGTAGTGGGTTAATGCTGTAGGACCAGACGTAGTGGGTTAATGCTGTAGGACCAGACGTAGTGGGTTAATGCTATAGGGCAAGACGTAGTGGGTTAATGCTGTAGGACCAGACGTAGTGGGTTAATGCTGTAGGGCCAGATTTAGTGGGTTAATGCTGTAGGGCCAGACGTAGTGGGTTAATGCTGTAGGGCGAGACGTAGTGGGTTAATGATGTAGGGCGAGACGTAGTGGGTTAATGCTGTAGGACCAGACGTAGTGGGTTAATGCTGTAGGACCAGACGTAGTGGGTTAATGCTGTAGGGCAAGACGTAGTGGGTTAATGCTGTAGGACCAGACGTAGTGGGTTAATGCTGTAGGGCCAGACGTAGTGGGTTAATGATGTAGGGCGAGACGTAGTGGGTTAATGCTGTAGGGCGAGACGAAGTGGGTTAATGCTGTAGGACCAGACGTAGTGGGTTAATGTTGTAGGGCGAGACGTAGTGGGTTAATGATGTAGGGCCAGACGTAGTGGGTTACTGCTGATAGAACGTATGTATGTGAAGCAGCGGGGTATGCCTAGTTCAGCACTCAGGAGCCCAGTGGATGTCTTAGACAGAAGGCTTTTCGGTATTCGATTTCTCTTCAGTATCATTATCCAAGCCCTGACCCTAATCCCAACCCTATCAGCGTTGATGTTAACACACACAAATTGTGTACCGCAACGCTTTTGTCGTCCTGCAAAACAACTAGCTTTTTTATTTTATAAGTCTTGACTTACAGGTATTTAAAAGAAAATATGCCATCTTGATTCTTCAACCCCCCCCCCCCTCCTAACGCCTTCGTCCACCCTAGCCCCGCGACTTCTATAAACTAAGCTGAAATAAAACTGCACCATTCCGACCGCTCCGTTGACTAGTGGTGACTTCATCTCTTGCCGTGAGATAGCTACCGCTGCATATTTCATGACCTAGGGCCACTGCACGACATAGTAGTCAATCCTGCCAAGAAACGGCTTAAGTGCCCAAGTTTGAACAACCCGGCTACCTTCAGTAGCGGTTACATGTGACAAGCAGAGGAAACATGTTATATAACCTGACTAGTCACATTGCCTTAGGGTGGTCTTGTGGGCAAAACAAAATTGTTAATTATTTTTCTATTTTTCATGTAGAGATAAAAGAAAACATACATGTAGTAATATATGGGTGAATAATAAGTTATATTATGACATGATGTTAAAATAGACTATGTGTTACCGTACTGTATATATGGGTGGTTGTTGGTTCAACATCATAACAGCCGAAGAGCTCTTCTATTCAAGTGTTCGGCCTTTGTACGTGTTTGTTTTAGGAGCGTCGTTTTGACAACTAAAGAATCCCTTACAAAAGCAACTTTTTTAACATATTACCGTCACTCCCATTATAATACCATTCAGTATATGTGTTTGTGTTTTACTTGTCTGTAAGTATATGTTTGTGGTTTTCATGTCTGTACGCATGTGTTTGTGTATATACTTAAATTAAAACATCAGACAATGGATTGCACTTAGCCTATTTTATCATTGCACTAAACCACCGTGGTAGAAAGTTGAAGGCGTAAATAAGTCCTCGCGTTAGCCTCGCCTCAGTCAATACATTGGGTGCTTTCTGTGAGCGCTCACCAATCGCCTTTAGTTCTAGATTGACTCCGTGAAATGTGTTTTTACGATCTTTAATGTGCAATTCATGCTCTGTATCGTGTAATTCAAGATGTGTAACATGTAATTCAATATCTATGTCGTGGAATTCCAGATTTTTAACGTGTAATTTAAGATTTAAAGTGTAATTCAAGATTTTTAACGTGAACTTAGATCTTCAACGTGTAATCCAAGATTTTTAAAAGGATTTTTCTGTGTAACAGTTTTGATATAGAGCTACTTAACTTATTGGTCAATTCTTCTTTACGCGTTAAAGATATTTACGGCTTGGCTGGGTATTTTATTTCTGTTGTTTAGTTTTTATCTTTGATCTTCATTTATTCGTGTATCTGATGTTTTTATGTAGGAAATACGTGTATCTGATAAGTTATTGTGTTTTTGGTTATTACTTTGTGTATTGGAAGCTTGGTGGAGTATTGAACAAAATGTATAGATTAGAAATAGAAACGCTCAAGAAATCTTCAGATAATGTGTAACTTCCTTAATTCCTAGTCGGGAAATTATTGCTGTAATTAGTTTTAGTGGTCGTTTACTAATGGTTATTACAAACACCATTACTTGATCTTTATTTAGCCAAGTTAATTAAAATGTAATATGTTCTTATTTGAAGTTGATAGCTTTAATGCGGTTAATAATTTAATTTCAATTAAGTTGTTATCTTGATGTTAAGTGCATCATCTGGGTAATTAGTATGATAATGTCCAGTCCAGCTGATAAGAGTAACCTCACCATTTGGTGCTACTCTTCGCCTCTAATTTCGTTTCATTGTTGTCTCCCCTGACCCAGCGCTAACTCTAACGAGTAAATTATGTATCACCTGTTGGTCAGTGGATGGGGGGGGGGGGGGGGGGGCTGTATCGACCAGACTTGTTCATGTGTGACGGTTAATTAAAGATGGCAGATGAGATCTTCTGCCGAGCTTCACAAGGGGCGTCGTGTTGACGCTGCTGTCAGTTATACGACGTCTTCATAAACAAGGCTTCGTATTTTTAGAGAACTACCCATCGGGAGATTTGAAGCAATCGTGGAGCTTAGATATCAATCCATCACACACCACAATGCATGTGTGTGTGTGTGTGTTCTTGTCTTGTGTTAAAGGCATTTATAACTTAGGAAAGATATGCCTCTTATCTCCCAAAGATATTGTTGTTAGATTAGAAACGTGTATGTAGTCTAATGTTAAACTGCAGGGTTAATACGAGCTTGAGCTATTTGGTGAATATTATGGACAATCAATTTAGAAGGGTGAAAGCCTAGCCAACACTAGCCCTATTCTCACAAAAACGTGTGAAAGATCTAGTTCTGGCATAGATTTCGGTTATCTTTATGTAACTGAGTTAAACAATGACGTAGATATTTAAATCCGTTCCTTGTTAGCACTTGTCAGGGGATAAACATGCAACAATGTATAATAGAAGATTGGATTTTTTGGCGGTTAATTTAACTGCCCCCACCCCCTCCACACACACATAATCAAACTCTTTAAGACATTTGATGTAAGGGCTATTTTGTTATCTACGATAAAGAGCCATACATCTAACAGCATACGGTAGCTTTGGTTGACCTGTTGAATTAAGTGCTATATCTCTTGTATCAGCCCATTCATGTGGCTTTGACTCCACGACACCACATCCCCGTCTTGTGGCTGTGATTCTCACAACACCACATCCCTGTCATGTGGCTGTGTCTCCACAACACCACATCCCTGTCATGTGGATGTGACTCCACAACACCACATCCCTGTCATGTGGCTGTGTCTCCACAACACCACATCCCTGTCATGTGGCTGTGTCTCCACAACACCACACCCCTGTCATGTGGCTGTGTCTCCACAACACCACATCCCTGTCATGTGGCTGTGTCTCCACAACACCACATCCCTGTCATGTGGCTGTGTCTCCACAACACCACATCCCTGTCATGTGGCTGTGTCTCCACAACACCACATCCCTGTCATGTGGCTGTGTCTCCCCAACACCACATCCCTGTCATGTGGCTGTGTCTCCACAACACCACATCCCTGTCATGTGGCTGTGTCTCCACAACACCACATCCCTGTCATGTGGCTGTGTCTCCACAAC